TAAAACTGAAATAGTTAAACTTCATTTAAATCATTACATTTATGGAGCCACTCACTGCATGGATTTATTTCAGTGCATTACAGTATATTTTCTTTCTCATCTTTAAAGCTGATAATTGCAAATGTACCATAAGGTTAGCACTTTTGGATAATGTTAAATGAAGTTTATTTATTTATTTGAACACATAAATATTGGTATAAGGGGGCACCAAATATATATGCGCCACACAAAGCAATGAGAATGGGGAGAGAAAAAAGAAGGTAAGGTGAGTATAAGAAAAAAAGAACAATAACGAACACAGATTAGTATAAGGTAGTGTAATAATAATAATAATGGAGGGAATGGAAAGGTACAACCAGAAGAATTCTTTTAGTTAAGAAAGATACAAACACTTTTTATGAAGTAAAAAGAGGTTACAGTAGGATCGCCACTGGCTTATATTCTGAGCCATATCGGGGTACCTGGCCTGTCGTATGTCCTGATGGTGTTCTCGTAACTTTCGGGTTGCCTGATCTGCCAAGGGCGATGGGACAATGCATGATGCTGTTGTTGTGTGCTAGGTTCAAAGAGAATTGTATGCTTTATGCATGCAAATCCGCCCCGTTATTGTTTCTATTTTATAAGATATGGCTCAGAAGTATCAGATATTAAATAAAGTATCGGAACAATTAGTTCCTTTTTCAATTTTCAGATACCGTTTAGAGATGGAGTCAAAAAATAAATGGACTTGATTAATTGCCGTGATTAATTCACAGTTTTCATCTATATACTTAATCTATTTGCATATATACCCAGGAATTTCTTGTTCATATTATAGTAAAAAGGACAATTTTGGAAAACGCAACTTCAGTAATCAGTTTATTTAGAATTTTAAAAAACAAATAGAATATCTGTAAATTATAAACAAGAGAACAATGCATAGTGTAATAATTAAAGTGCCAGTACTTGGAACATAATTGAAAGAATTCACATTCAAAAAATTCACCTCAAAATCTATTTATCTTATTTTATTCGCCTGTGTCATTATAATCCAAGGGTATTTGATTAGCATGATCGAAATTAGTTGGAGTTATTTCCTGGAGTTCATTATTATTGAATTCCTCCTTCAAATATTGAACATTACTTTTGTATTCATCAAGATTGTTTAAACTTTCTAATTTTATCATGCTATGTCTATCATTGGAACTAATGATGTTTTTCATAAATATTTGATTTTTGTTTTTATACCATGGTTTTACAATTGATTTGTTTGATAGATTTTGCTTATTTGTTCTTTTGTAATACATTTTATTCACCATAAAATTCACATTATCGTCTCTTATTTGATTAACATTAGATTTTTTACCTGTTATTGAATTATTAATATTTTGATTATGATCAACCACATCATTTAGATTGTCTATTACATTTTCCGAATCATCTACTAGTCCTTCAATTGATTCATCTTCAGTTGATCTATTCAATTCTATATTGTATAGCTGTCTACAACTTATAGTATTCTTCCATGCAGCCTCTAATACAAAACGTATTATTTCATATTCAACCAAATCTTCAGGTATAATTCTTTTCTTACTTCCTTTGAACAGCTGATAATAACTTATTAATACAGTAAATACTGCTTTTGCATAGATGTCATAATTCATTGGCAAATTTTCTTTCTTAATCTCTTTTAGTTGTAATCTTACACTATTGAATTCCTTCACAAGTAACTTGATCAATTTCACATAACGAATAAAGCTTTTTAGTACAAATAATAAAACAACCACACCAAGAAATATACTGAAACAGCTTAGACTTGTAAATAATAACTCTATCATATGTTGTTCAATAATGTTGTGTAAATAACCAGCTGGATTCCGAAGAAATGATGCACGTAAGCTAATAGCATTACCAATTAGATCATAATCGTAATCTTTGCGAAAATCTGTTAAATTTTCATAACTAGGATCAATAATAATTAAATCTTCATCATTGTAAAATGGCATTTCTAACTTGATAATAAGATCACTATATAACATAGGAATATTTTATTCTAATGGTAATACAAGTTAGATATATAGATTAACATTTCCTATTGTTCAAATAAATGTGATTGTCTCCAGATATATGAAATCAATATATCGATCTTTGATAATAAATTTAATTTAGTTTAATAGTATCATCTATAAGTTAACCTACATAATGTAGTGTCTTCATAATACCCACTGAAATAGATGCAACTTGTTAATACTTTCGGTTATTGATGTTGTAATTCGGAAGTTGAAATCACAGATTATATAACCAAAAATAAGAGGCAGGTACTTTCATTAGATGAATTCAAATTATAATCACCTATATGCACTTGAAATGTAAATAATGAATGGTAACGTGATTTAAGATTTTTTTTCTCCCGTATTAAATATACTTGAGCTATTTACAGATACTATGGTTACGATCATTTGGTTGATAGGTTTAAATAATTATCCCGTGTCTTTATCGACTGTAAGGCAAAAACGAAAACCAATTTTCCATGATACAGTTTACTAAATATGAAAAGAAGGAAAACTACAGCTAAATAAATCGACTCACTTTGTCCTTATTGAATAGGATCATGTTGATCTTATGTGTATGATATGAGAAATTTCAAATTGATTGCTTTTTTATTTTTAAGTATTTGGAGTAAAGAAAAAAACGATTTTCATTGTTGTTCAAGTATCTGATTGGAATCTTTAAACAATTCAGTCATCTTTATATGGAGATCAATAAAATATTTGTATCAATATTTAACCTATATGAACTGCAATCGAATAAAAATGTGACGAAACGACTCACCATATTACTCTGTGAAGCTCACTGAGCTTATCTAAGATCAATCCTAAATTATTACATACACTGAACGTTACATGGAACACTTATGAGTGTGTTCATAGGGTACCTATTCTAAATCTTTGGAATCCTAGCCACATTACAGCTGTTAGATGGTCAGTATAAACTTTAGATCTAGAGCAAAATATAGCAAGTGGACTTTTCATGGGCCATTAATCTCATCAGTTTTCTTTTATAGATATCCTTTTTAGGGAACAGTTCGTCTGACTTTCCAGGAATTGATATTCTACCTGAAAGCTATCTTGACTTGGAGTATCTGACTGACATCGTATTGTATGATGAACTAGTAGTAGGGGTCTCGTAACTTATTTAGTGTGCCAGTTTCTTTAGTATAGCGCATCATTTATATAAAATTTCAGTTTGTATCATATGTAACATAATTTCAATAAATTCAGTTTAACATTTTGGTTGCATCAATTTAGTTTGATGTCATTTTGTATTAGTTTAGAGTAATCCTTCATAAGTATCAATTTCGTTAACCCATAACAATACATATGAATCTGCAAATATACGGGTATCTTTGTTAGAGAACTTTTTTTGTTTTGAAGGAACGAGTTAATTTGCACTTGCTTAGTGTGCTTGTTTTTTCACTGTGTTGATTCGTTTTCATTTTCAGCTCAAACTATATCACAGTTTCTGTTTCTTAAATTATAAAAAGTTTTAAGTTCAATTAATAATCATAGTCTCATGAACACTTTGAGTGTCACTGCAATACTGTAATATGCATATACAGCCATCAAATGCCCTAAAGTGAAATTGTCGATAACTTCTGAATGGGTGTAGTGATTCTGCTATATACATTACTGAAAATATCTATAATTGTTGACAATTGTACATTTTCAGTTTGTTTGTGTGTACGAGGAATGATTGATAATATACTATGTATTCCGTTGGTTGTTGAATTTTCTTCGCACTTACATTTCAGAAATAATGACTAAAAGTTATGTTTTGTAAATCTTAAAATTTTAAGTAATTCAATATCAATCCTGCTTTCAGGAAGATCGGCAGTTTCAACAGATAGAATTGATTTGCATATTAATTCATCCTTGTATTGGTTTGTTTGAATCTTTCCATTGATGTTTAGGACTGAAAGTGATCAGTCTCTTATCAGCATACGTGCGGATTACCTTAAGTCACAATCATTATGGGTGGAGGTGGATGGTAGCTAGCAGTGGAATCCATGACGCGCGTTTCATCCTATTCGGGACATCCAGATAACGAGACCTAAATAGAACGAAACGCGCGCCCTGGATTCCATTGCTGACCACTACCATCTCCGCTTATGATATGCATATTGTGCTACTTCTTACTACAAAAGCATTTACAATCGGGACTGTGTATCTATAGTACGGCGAAATGTTAAAATATCAAAACCACATTTTGAATTCACGTAAGCAGCATAAAGAGACAATACCTACGGACACATGGAGTTTATGTTACTGAAGTAATACGGTAGACAAAAACCTAAACAATATAAAAAATTTCGGGTATGGTTTGTTTTTCTTTAGAACTCAAAAAATAAATCAATTAAGGTTTTAATAAATTTTCTTTAGTTATTCATTGATGCATGTTAAAACAAACGAAACCTACAATGAAAAACAAATGCATGTGCAGAAAAACGAAACATAAAGACAATTTATTATACGGACTGACTGTAACTCAGAAGTCATTAAAACAAGAGAATTAGAAAGCTGTTTTGTCCTAGCATGGGACTTCTCAATAGTGTGTACCTCTAACACCACTAGTGATCAGACTCAATTATTTCAAGCTTTAGGTAGTTGTTACATACTTTCCGGAACAGAACAAAGTACCAAATTGAAGAAATCACTCATTAATACAATATTGTGTTATAAAAAAACAACAAATATGTGACAAGAAAAAAAGTTTAAAGACGGGAGAATTAAAGCAAACATGAGAAACGATCGGGTAGCTGGAAATGAAGTTTTACATTGATAATGTGAAATTTTAAAGATATTAAACCTAAATATATGAGTCGTCGAAGAATTACATTAAAAGCAATTCAAATGTTATGTGTACAAAACAGTTCACAACCAAGAAATCGAGCAGCCATTTAAGCAATAGAACAACAGAGACAAGAAATAATTGACGGAAAAAAAGTATTCACTTCAATTGTACTATCGTAGGCATCCTTGTATTGTGGCCACTACTTGACGCGAAGCTACGATAAAAATGGATAAAAGTTAGTAGTTTATAAGGGTACTAATTCTATGTCATAGTAAAAAATAACATTAGTTATTAAAAGAAAATCGAATCGAGATAATTAGAACATACAGGATGTGATTGTATTTGATGAATTACAGCAGCAGTACAATAGCTCAGCAATCAAATATTAGACCACCAATTCAAACTTAATGATTATTACAACACCATAATTGGTTGTTAGAATTCAGAGATAATGAGTTAACATGACTGGTCAACAATACGCTTTTCATGGTCACGCTTAGAATAGCTTAAAATTATACAGACAGTAAGGTTGATGACTAATTACTCTTATAAGAAAACTGTTACCAAATTATATTAGTATACTTTAATAAGTATTCTACCAATTATCTAGCTAGTCAATCTACAGAGAATAAATTCGGGTCTTTGATAGCACCTTTTTGATAAGATGCTTCAGCGAATGGGTTCGCGTATGAAAACAAAAATTACCGTCTTTTTCAGAGAAATACAGATAATGGACAAATAGTGAGTTAAAGATACAGAAATTAAACATAGATACGAGATTATAAAGTTGAATAAGAACTTACAACCAGAGTTCCGATGTTCACAAAGCCATATTCCTTGCCAAGTACCCAAGGCTAACTGACCATTTGTAATAGGTACGGTAATACTGGGTCCACCAAGTAATGCTTGTTTTGCATGTGCAGGCTTAAAGAGAATTTGAAATTGGAAAACATACATACATATTGTTAGGCTAAAAGTTAAATGTAGTAAGTGAATATTAATAATTATAACGAAAATATGTTGAAAAAATATATTTGACATGGTGCAAGTAGGTAATACGTATACAAGGATCGTAAGAAAAGCCAATATGTGAATTTTATCCAATAAAACTAATTAGTAACAATGAGTTATGACGGTACAGTCGATTGACCAAAAAATAAAGCAATTGAAGTGGTTCTACAGACAATTTATTCGTTGAGTCGATACCCAAATTTCAGATCACAAAGAACAGAATCAGTGGTTGCCCGACTGAATGAATAAGATAATGTAATTACAACTGATATAAATTCATCCAAGACAGTATAACCATTTAGATACTTACTCATTAAGTAGCTAATGATTAATCAAGTTGATACAGTGGGCCAGTTGAACATTAGTCACATACTGAGCTCACAATATATGGAGTATTTTTCTAAGAAACGGGAATTTCCATATATATATATATATATATATATATATATATATATATATATATATATATATATATATATATATATATGAATGCAGTTATTAAGAGACGTTCTTTTCACTTTCAGTCTTCTCATTCAATTAGCCGATTAGGGTCGCAAATAGGAAGCATGTTATTCAACGTCAGAGCTAAACACTGTACAACACAACAGAGAGTTACATAAGAATCAGTAGCTTATCCTTTCTCTATATCTCCCACCAACAACGGAAACTAACCTACAATATGGTAATGATACAAAAGTAGGTCAGTCGTACATTATAGTAACATGACTGACTCGTGGAAGGTGATTTACGAAAATCACGCCGATGAAATTAATTATTCAAATGAACTTTTCATCAACATTTTAAGCTGCAATCGATAAGCATAATTCAACCATCTATTTAAGTTATGCAATTTTCAGCACATCAATGTACTAATAGAATTAAATTGAGGTATTAAGAACAATCATAAATGTTGTACATTATTGGAGTGAATATGAACTTACCATGTCATCAGCACCTTCACAATTATGTTTGTATTTAAGTGACTACGATAAATATAAAAAAATTATGATTTAATAACAACACATAGATATGTTAACATGAATAAATTTAATGCACAATTGTTCACTGAGGAAGAGGTTTTTGCAAATATTTACTTTGGATTATATATGATTAATCTCCGTTGGAATCTGTACACTCTGGGTGGACCCCTAAATATCGCTTTGAGTTAAAGAGTTTACTATATTTTAAGATTGTGGCTATCAGCAGAATTTAGAAAACCCGTTTTGTTCTACTTGAGAATAGTCATACTGGGACAACACGTGCATTCCGGAATTCTACCGTTAACCACGACTTAAAAGTCTAATTTGCAATACGTTACATTAAATATAACACAGTTGGCCAGTGCTCTCTGAATTTTAAGTAATTTTCTAGTTGGAGTCAGTTCATGGTGAGAACTATCCCCAAAAGATTACACCACCTTATCTGAATATTCAAAAATTTAAGTAACCGATTACTCTGCCTTTGTAAAGCGCTTAATTTTATTACTCATCAAAATGCCACATACATTAGTGGAATTATTGACTGAAATTTCAAAAAGTTTTTGATGAACTTATTTGTTTATAGCTTCATGAACTCTAGGAATCTGGATCCTCCTGCCGTGAAATAAATATTTATATGGAGACAAAGTATAATTTATTCGATGTCAAGACCAAGTTGAAGGCTAACAAGCTAAATATGATATATTTATATAGATCCTAGTTGCAGTAGATTCATTGCATACACCACCAAAAGTCCAGAGCTGTATATATTTAACTAAATGGGTCGTTTGCAACGCATTGGAAACAATAATAAGACATTTATTATACGAAATGCCGGTGGTCCGTAAAGAAAATGGAACAAATATTTTTAAACGCAAGTTGAAAGGGAAAACAATATTTCCAAGGAAAATGGACTTTTAAGCAGTAATGTTCCCACACGATAGGTGAGATGAGCACATGATAATCAACAATGAGAATGAAACATACCTCAGGTACAAGATGATTTAGAACCATTTCCATATCTGTTCTGAAAAATCAATAGCGAAATAAAGTGAATTTATATAATCCCTTATCCAAAATTCATAGAAATGAGGATTAGAGTTTTTAAGCAAAAAAACTATTAATATTAAAATGTGAACAAGATGTTTTCAACACGGTGGTTGATTCGTTTAAATGTCAAACAACTAAATCAAGGATGAGAATTCCACAATATCTACAACAGTTTGAGAGTCCTGATAGCAGTACTAATAGTAATATTAATGACTTTACATGACTGTTATAAATGCTCAAGTGCTCGAACATATGCAAGACTAACAGAATGGATGACTGACATTTTTTTATCAAGTCAATAAAGAAATCGACACATTCGTTTATCAATGTATCAGACAGAAAAACCAGCCACTAGCATTTTTTTTACAGAAAAAAGCCACGTTTCTTAGGTTTCATCTTTAAAATAAACATTTAAGTCTGAATATAATGCCAACAGAAATCGTCTAGTATAATCCAGCTTTTTATATTCTACGCAATTAAAGACATCAAGAACCTTAGTTGAAACAAAGAATTCACTACACCTAACAAAGTACCTAACCTACACAAAATATACTTCATCGTAAACTTCCATCCATCCATTTATCTTAGTTCTGTTAATTATCCGTTTTTGAGAGATGAACCATTTATCCCCATATGTTGGAGAAAAATTCCAAAATGCTGATTTAAGAGAAATTTCTTAGATCCCTGTTTATTACAGTTAGTCCCATTTTTGATTTGTTAATATTCAGAAATCAAAGTTTGAGAGGGCCCCAAATGTCCTGGTATGGCCGAGAGTGGGGTGGGCCTACCCTCCCTCTCGAAATGCTCTCACACGGCCACGCGTATACAGCCTCTGCCTTCAACGTCCGCACACTTATGCAGGTCGGACAACAGATAGGACTGGCTATGTCTTTGGAAAGTCTTCATATCGATGTCTGCTGTCTATCCGAGACCCGTATTCAAGACTCTGGCGAAGTACTACAAATTCGATCTCCATCTGTCGCTTCAAAAAGCTTGTTTGACGTGCGTTTATCCGGAGACCCTATGGCAGCTTCATCTTGTCTTGCTGGTGTTGGTGTCGCACTAAGCGCAAGAGCTGAGGCAGCACCAATCCATTGGATCCCCATAAACAGTCGGTTATGTGCTGTTAGAATAGAAAGTTCCATCAAAGTGAGAAGAAATCGGCGTAAGAAACGATGTCTTTTCGTCATCTTCATCTATGCTCCGACAGATTGCAGCCCGGATGAAATCAAGGATGAGTTTTACCACCAGTTATCTGTTCTTCTCCAGAAAGTGCGTTCGACAGATATTGTAGTACTAGCCGGAGACTTGAATGCTCAGGTCGGGCGTCTAGGCACAGAAGAGAATTGCTTAGGTGGCCGATGTGGACTTGTTGGTCGCAGGACAGATAACGGGGACCGTTTATTGCAACCGTGGACAGACCACAACCTGTTTCTGGCTAGCACTAACTTTCGGCACATTCATCGCCGATGTGCCACATTGTACCAATATTTATGTGTTCAAATAAATGAATAATAAAGTTTGAGAATACGCAATAGAAGTAAAACCTTTGGTGTCCATTATCAACCTCATGAATGAAGACGATAATGAAACATAAATCTCTTATCAATTTCGTATATGACACTTAATCTAACCACATTGTGCAATGGTGGTAATACAAGCTGAATTCGAAATGTGCTAGAAAAATTTGAGGGACTCGAATGCAAACGGACAGATGGTAAGAATGAATAGATGAAGCTTGAAAATAGGCTTTACGCCAACTTTATTAAATAAATTTATATCTAAGCTTATTGATGAAAACAGACAAAGAATAATCTTGGTGAATAGAGATAAACAAGAATTCACATATAAAAATGCACATAAGTGAAAGGTTGGGATTATTAGTAAATGAATGAATATAATATAACCAATAATCTCATAATTAAGTATGTGAATATCAGATAAGGTCAAGCAATGATTTGTATAATTCCGCCATATTAATTCCCGCTACAATCCAACTGTAAATGAGTTACTACAACCCTCATTATGAATACCTGAAAAAAGGTCGAGTGAAACTTACGTAACAGATGGATCCCAACTCTGTTAGTTAAAGAAAAAGATAATAAAAAATGTTAGGGGTAATATAAATATGATAATATTATAAACACCCCTAATCTTGTTCGCAACTTTTGTAAACTTCAAAATATTCAGGAATAACTGGATACATTTAAACACTGGTTTATCAAGAAGGCTGAGTGAACAGAGCGAGACCCTATGTTTCATGACCGATTTTCCCAAAAAAACTATTCTGCAGTACAGAAAATAAGAGTGACAAATAAATATGGTTAACTAATCTTCGAAACGTCTACATGCATCTTGATAGGACTCATCGCCTATCGGTATTGAACTGACTATGTATTTTCAACTCTGAGGTAAGTGGTATCGTAAATAAAACAGTAATCAACATAGTATAATGCTTCTGTTTTCCGATTTTGAAATTATATGAGACTGACAAAATCCAAGCACGGGTGCAAAAGGTTCTCTTGGTTTTTGCCAAATTACGCCAGATATTCATGTTAGAAAAGATTTATTGAACAGCAGTTTTTTCCTTATTACTCTCATTATAGAGTATTGAATAGAGGGAAAGTTGGTAGTTGAGGTCATATATCTCCATATAGTGAGATGCTTAGTACATGATGTAGTCAGTCAGCTACAACGTAGGACCAGGCACATATGTGTATCGATCCAAGTTGCCATACTTCATTAGCACAACAAGATGAACACCGGATTCATAGAAGTAGTTAATTAAGTGGTGATAATATATAAAAGAAAGATTGCATATAAGGACAAGTACATGATGCGTTGCCCATGCAACAACCGTTTACGCTGACATGTAGTGGAAAAGTCGTAAAAAAAGCTAGAGATGGGAAGATCGCTACATATAATCATTCCATGAATTTACTGACTGATGATATGAGACATGTTGACAAGTGAAGGCTTGGCAACTGGAGGTCGCAAAAGACTCATAATCAACTGTTGTAGACATTCAGTGATAGGGTGAAAAACTGGTTGCACTTGTGTTCATTCTCCATTTTCCTCTAAAAATTGTGGGTTAAGCATCATTCTCAACTCTACATTCTTCAGTCTCGTTTGTTCGTTTTAGATTATATTTCTGGTATCGAGTTAATTTATACAGTTGAGTGTGAGATGAACAAATGGAGGACTTCTTCCATTATTGAGTGAAGAATTATGTCAATGAGATGAAGAGGGAATATTTGCAGTTTAGGAAGAGGATTTATGAGATGTTTTGTTTCTGAGCTAGATAACTTAATCGTGAAGATTCATTGTCTTCATAAACATCATCGGTAAGTGATAAAATCTAATTTCAGATCAAATAACAATATAACGGTAGTAGATAATATATTTGAATACTTAACTATACCCTATAATATCACATGAACGTACTTCATTAATTGTTAGAGTAGCTGATGTATGCTGAACTGTCAGAAATAAGAAAAAAAAAAGATAAAACAGTGAAAGCCGAAAATTAGAACGATAATAAAGAGAATTTATAAAGAGGACGTACAGACTGAATTCTTTAAATCTCAAAAGTGGTGGCTTAAAGATTTAATGAAGTAATTTCTCATTCAAGATTGACAAAACAAGTTTTAAAATACATTATCTGCCCAATAAATACGCGAACAGAGATCCTAAAGACATTTTTATAAACATGTGGGAATATTGATCTTATCTCGTTCAAAATACTCATTATATGGTTCCCGCTTCCATTACAATTGTTCAAAACATGCGTGGAAGTTCTCGCTAATGGGAAGGAATTGCCAGGGATTAAACTTAATGCAAAGGGAAGTTGATTTAGTGTGTTAACTAAATCGCCCTAAATTGTATAAATTAAAGTTTCCGTTTTTTTGTAAAGACCATGTATATCTGTCTAAAAATATCTCCATTAAAACACCAAAATAGTAGATAAAGGAGAATAATATTAACAAATCAACAAGTGAATTATTTGACAGTACAACGAAAAACCACATATCCAGCTTTCTAGCAAGTTCACACATTTTGATCAACTGAATAATATAGCTATGCACAAACTTCAGTATTCAGAAGGTTTGATATTAGCCAGATAGTCATAAGTAAACGTAAGAACATGACACTTGTGTATAAATATGAGTTGCTACACAACAGTGAGATGACAGTGCGAAAATAAATATCGGAGTTGAAGCACCAGTTATGATAAACAAGATTTAAAACAGAGAAAATGATTCAGTAAGAAAGAATTTGCTGAACAAAAAGTGTAGAATAATTTAGAAACTCGTGATCTAGAGGTAGATTAGTAGCGAACGAATATATGTCACTGTAACCGATTCATCAACATGTCACCCACCTCGAGCCACCGATTATGATTATTCGTAGTTTGAATAAACCAACAGTCAAATAACATTGCGTATCGATTTCACATCTTACTTTAGACGCCTCTAGCTTCCGGCTAACCCACTCCTTTTCCGATCAGCGTTGTGCATCGTGGTATTTAGTGTTAAGTATTTATCGTGTGTAACACATTTCCCAATCATATCAGTCATGAAGTAATCACAGCCTCATAAACTAATTTGCCACATCTGTCTAGTATTATACATTAAACTTCAAAGTACCGATTATCAAATATCAGTAACTTCTGAATGTCCTATACTTTTACTGACTACACTTCAAAGCTGTAAAGTAAAATTGAGCAGACTGCTGCGCAGCATACTCTTCCTTTGATTAGAGGACGATTTTCTGGCTCACCACAAAGGCGATGCGAGTTGACAAACCCAAGATAGACTTCTTGATCCGTGCAGAGATTTTATCAATCACCAACACACCAGGGCTGAGGAGGATTCCAAGATGAGTAGTCGACACGCTTAACCACTACATTCCCTATCACACTCTAGAATATAATGTAAGGCGGTTTTGAAACAATTTGCATTTAGAGGGTGAGAAACGTAATCCAGACATGCACAAGACTAGAAGACTACATCCTTTCAGAGTTTTCGACAAACAGGATGATATTATATGGGTGTTCTAAGTCAACAGGTGAATTTCATGGTCAGTAATCTACAACGTAGGATCAGGCACACATATGCATCGGTTCACGTTGCCATACTTCATTAGCACAATAAGATGAACACTAAATTCATAAAAGTAGCTACCTCAGTGGCAGTAATATATAAAAGGATTGCATATAAGGATATAATACGGGGAGAAATAAATATATAAAGTAATTTCAATCTCAGTTTATGGGAAGACAAAGTGTGTACACGTAGACCATTGTGATCGATTCTGAGCCATGTCACCTAGAGTCTCCAAACATTGGTTACGATAGTCACGTGGACCCCAACCAGGTAGTGTTACCTACAGCCAGTATCTTAACCACTTTCCTATTAATAAACTTTCGCATCCTCAGCTTACACTCTTACGAAAAAGTGAGTGTTTGGAGTCGTCAAGACACTTGAGAACTAGAACCTAACGACCTACAAATGTATAGTGACAAGTATTTTGGGATTCCGTACAAATGGTCGGCGAAAATATCAAAAAAGGGATGAAGCGCTTCCGTTTAGTATACAATTTTATAAGCTATGTTAACGTGTACTTACTAAAAAGATGTAAAATACCCATTTGTAGTTGTCCAATTTCTGGCAAAGCTTTTCTAATCTCATCCGTAACATAATGACATCCACGTGACTTCTTTTTCAAAGTGATAATTCGCTGAAACCAATAACTGCCAGTTGCAGAAGTCATTATCTATGTGTAGAATATAAACGGACATGAAACCATTGTTGAAGAATAGTTATATATCTATAACGTTTATAGTCAAGGCAAAATAGTAACCTATAGTGAGTACTATGGGATCTTTGTTAAAATAAAAGAGTGGTATTGTGTTTTATTGATTTGAGTTTACCGTCGATATGTCTAAACGATCTAAAGACGCTAGGTCCTCGTACATTAACTATCTGGTGTGATGGTAAATCGTTTTGTCGTCAATCAAAGGAAATAAGACGAATTCAGTCAGGTTTTAATACCACTGAGTTGGTATTTAGCGTAATGTTCTTTGATGAAAAGAAACGAAATCCACAACCCACACGTTTTCTCACACTAAACAAGTAAAAACAAAGGGAAGTGGTCCAAAAAACAGTTTATTAATGACATTTCTCTTGTCCGGAAAGACATTACTCCAGCTCAAAACAATTTTAAGTAACCAGAGGATTCTAAAACAAGTTTGGTTATGCAGCTGAGAAACTAATACCGGAAAATATGGATACTCTCGAACCATACAAACTTTAAAATTTTACCGTTTAATTTGTCAAAGCTCTGATGAATAAGTGAATACCTTTTCCTGATAAGCAAAGAAAGGTGTCATTTATGTGTTATGGTAATTATCTAGTAGCTTTATTCCTTAAAATGGACCGAAGTTAAAATAATACGAATAACTAGAAACACAGACGCATTCTTTCATCAACATTCATGACAGCATATTTCTATAGAAAATAAAATCTGTTTCATTTAAATAAATTTTGAAAAGATCTCATAGAAACAGGTTTTAAAAAACAATAAATTGTATTTACAACAGGGTAAAAAAAATAAAGACGACAATACAAGAAAGGCTATTTAGAGAGAAGAAAAAATCGTAAGCATTTAAAAAAGTTAACAAAATTTCCTGGTTGTATAGTAATGCATATAAAGACAAGCATGGAATAAAGCAAAAAGGTGGATAAAAAAAGTAATACTATTTCAATAAAATAGTTTAGTGAGAGCGATTCATTCATTAAAAATAATTTACAACACCTAACCGATCTTTTAATGTTTTAGGTGTACGGAATTTTTCAATTATTCGTGAAACACTATGACCAGTAATTATATCATCTTCTTTGTCAGTTGAACAAGAAGAACAACTAGAGAAGATTGATGGTGACAAAAGACTGGAATGTGAGATTTTCCTTTCAGATACAAAAGAATTGGATAGAAGAGAAGTTTGCAATTGTAAACGTGGGTTATTAAATAAATTAGACAATGAAGATGAGCGTTTGGTCAAGTTAGAAAATGTAGATTTCAATTCACTACTCAATGGAGATGAAAATGTGCATACAGCGGAGAGAGACGGTGGTGGCGATTCGCGGTCAGTGTGATTGTACGCTTCAATATCACTATTATAACCAATATTCATTTCGGAAAAGATTGATTCAGGCAACATATGCTTGTGATTTCTGTTTACATCATTATTGTAATCACTAGTAGCAGCATACATACAGAATATTTGGGAGAAAAAAATATGAAAAGTAATTAATACAACTGAAAGGAATGAATTAAAAAACAGCAAAGGCTGACTCGCACGTGGCCCATAAAAATAGATGCTAGTAGGTTACTAGTATTCGATCATAGATGTCTATGGAGTATTGTTCGTGTATTTTGGGACCCTTGCGTTAGCAAATCTGAGGTAAGATGCAGAGTATTAAATAAGGATGTAAATTGAATAACGAGATATTAAATCGTTATCGAGTGAGATGGTTCGGACATGTATTACGTATGCCTATCTACCGATTACCTTGACGAGCAATGACGACTGGTAAAGGAGCAAGTTTAAAGAAACGTAGGACCAGCCAAGCCAAGATGTAGTATTGGTCCATGTAGACACCGAATAATCGGCTAAGTCACGTAGGTAGGTGTACACTACCTGATCGAGGTCCGCTGATCATTATAACTGCTAGTTGGAAACTTTATATGAAATGGCTCAAAATCGTTACAAACGGTGAAGGTGCATACACTTTTCGTCACTCCTTAGATTCTACGTTTCTAAATTCTTTACGAAAACACTTTTATTTCACCAATTCATATTTTCTTCAATCGTAACTTCTATTCCTGGTCGCTTCTACTACCACTAATACTGTTACTACCTCTGTGATTCTGGGATTCGCCCTAACAATTTCATCTCGATATACTAATGGGGTACGGTAACTTGAACCGATATGTCGGGTTCTACGTTGCGTTTGACTGACCGACTGGTTAAATCATCAACTAGGTACAGATCCGTATACTTGGGCTTTGAGCTACAATTTACGTTTTAAGGCTAGCGATACTTCTGAGATATTCAAGCTAAAGTAGATGGAATATGGGTTCGAATATGTAACATAGTAGTTAAAAGTCTAATATCTTAGTCACTAAGTCATCACTTCACAATTCATACTTTCATTTGAGGCTATACTACAACAAGTAGTTCCGAATTTTCACGCCAGATGACTAAGTTAAAAGGTAGAGGGTCGAAAGTGGTACTGGAACTAACTTACAGGTTATGGATAATTAGGCTAATAGTCAGTGGTGTTTTAAGAGATAATTTAACATTCCGAATATAAACACGTTTACAAGACTAGCTGAACATAACAGGAACATGAGTAATAGTAGAAAAGCAATACATTAGACGAAATCAAGTTATTTTCTACCAGTTTTGACAAAATGAGGAGATAGTGAAAGACGAGTGATATGATATCATTCAGTCACAGTGATATAAATGTTATTCTACGAATCCTGATCATAGTGTTATTTCGTGATGTTTTACTTCCCACTGACATGGATAGCACTGTTCCTCTTTCCCTACTTTTCATCTTCACTTCTTCGATCGCAGTGGTGATATGAAGTGTGGCATCTTGTATTGATAACACATTCATGTTAAGTCATATTTCTTCTATGTGTGACATGTGAAACATTTGAAATAGTTATAATCAAATAGAGATAGTATCGCTCAAAGTGTGGTTCACGGTATTTATTCTATGATAAGTAATTTCCAATATTGCACAAATACTAGCTGAGAAGTCTATCACTCGTTATTGAGTTTTACGTGCCAGTCTCACAATCAGTATCAATCCCAGTCAGGGTTCAGTACTTCAAACATCATTCATTGTCATTTTATGAGATACATATCAATAAATTTGTCGGTTGATTTGTCATCTTTCATCAAAAATTTGCACTGATTAATCTAATCACAGAACACAAAGGATTGATCGATAACCAAACTGAGGAAACCTCTTATTATCTGTGATTAACACTTTACCTTGATAGCTGTTAAGTAGAACGGATTATAGCTCAACAATACGGTGGATACATAACACATATTTTCAATAAATATACATGTATGCTAATACATATGTTTTTCTAATGTGAAAAAATGAATTTACTCCTAAATAACATATAGAAAACCCTCTGAACTTACACATATTCATTTTCATCAATGCTTGAATTGTCTGACTCCCACACTGGATGCCTAATGAGATTAGTAAGCGAAGTCAAAATATTAGGACTTTTGTCTTTTTCTGATTCACTCTTATTTACTTTTTTAGTTGATATACTTAAACCCTTGAATGCTTCATCTAACATAAGTTGATTTTTGTCAATTTTAGACAACTTCGACTTTGTTTTTTTCTTCCCAATTAGAATTTGACGCGTGGAATTTTCGAACACAGAACAAATTTCACTATGAGCTCTACGAAATTCTATTTGTGGTACAGAAAAATAATAATTGCAATTATCAGAAGTATTTATATTCTGAACATTTTCATCATTGGGATGCAGAATATTTTTTTGTCCGGACCATTTATCGAATCCTAGATATAAATAAAAATGCGAAAAAAGTAGGTATAAACAAAACAAACTAGGAATACCATAAAATCATTGTTATATCTAGAGCTTAGATTCTTCATACAACGCGTACAACTTCAGCACTCGAACGCTAGAACCCTGCGAGTGGCAAAATGAGAAGACATAAGAAGAGTGAGAAGGAATGTTATTTCAATAGTGTCAAATATGGTACAAAACCCTCAGGTATTTATAGTTTTTAGTAAAAGTGAAATCATCATTATAGTCATCCAATTCGCATACAGTGGTTTCTAACTTTCGTCCAACAGGGAAGCTACACGTCGAGATTCTGGAATGTTCTTCCAAGAGATAAACGGATGGAATGTCTTCGGCTCTTTCTGAGCTTCTTAGAACTTCTTTGAGTTCACCAGTGTGCCGTCCTCATAACCATGAACTAATTAATCACTGAATATTGAATAGTGTTATATTATCTATTCTTTATAGCGATGATGATGGTTTCTCGGCGTAATGTGACCAAAGAACACATTACGTCAAGAAATGGGGACAGACATGAGAAAAATGAACAAAAATTGGATAGAACTAGAAAGGAATGCCCAGGAAAGAGTGGGTTGGAGAATGCTAGCCTGCGGCCTATGTTCAGGCGTAAGTAATAGCGATGATGTATTTATACTAATTGAGCTGTAATGTGACTACTAGTTTAGGTTACATGATATTCGAGGGAACTTTCTTTTGATATTTGATGGTTAAAATAATTCAGTAAAAACCTATAAAACCAGGAATTGTGCTGGATGGCACTTCTCACCAAGGTGTATGTGTAATTTTGAAAACAATGATGTTACAGGTGTCATATTCAAATAGTCAGGAATATTATAGCAAGATGAGTAAGATTTACTACAGAAAAGAATCAAGTTAATTGAGTATTTTGGGTAATTTCCGGTAACTCGTTTATATTCTATTTACTTATCATGTTCAGGTATCTTTTAAAATGAAAAACGAAGCACCTATTTTGTATTGGTTATTTCTGATTAAAAGTTATTGGAATTATTTCACTAATATGTGAAATCTCAACATTCGTTTAGTCAGTCAGTAAGCTCTTTGTACTGAAGACGATTACATGTGGAGTGTTTGAGTACTAGGGAGTAAAATGAAATGAGTGCCAAACTTTTACCTTTGTGACGATTAGAAAAAAGCCCAAACAATGGAACAGAATTTTTATTGTTTTAGGCAGACCGGTCAACAACAAACTAACCTCAAACATTCAGTAAGGAAATGATTCAATCAAGCTGATTTTCAACTAGTCATTGTTTGCAGGTGTTTTAGATGATTTGTTTTTCTATTTATATATTTGTAATCTTAGAATTTCTATTTTATCCAGATTACTTGTACATTATTCAGTACAACTACGTTAAACTAAGTTAGTTTGAAAATTATACGCAGATAACAAAGTAATATGTCACTGACATCCGTCTATAGATAAAAGATAAAAGTACACTGAACATCCACTAAAATAAGTTCACAAATTGCAACTTACCCAATCTTTCCCACTCGACTTCGTAAGAGTCTACATAATTAACTATGCGTTTCTTTACTATCCTATAAGGAAAAAAATATACTTGGATTAAAATACCAGAGAAATAATGTACAAGCCTAATTAAATTAAGAACTAAGTACAGGTGGTTAATGAGATAAATTATTAGAGATTCAAGTCAATCAATCAGTAAAACTTATCAACGGTTTCTTATTTAAAATGTGACCAGATTTGTTAAGAAAGTGAACAATATTTGAGTTGCTAACTTGCAGCTTAAATATATTTTAAAATATTTCTCGGGAAGTAAAGCTTTTATGTAGTCAACCAGGTCCCTACGACGAACGTTTATTGATTCAGGTTACCGCATCTGACATCACAACAAAATAGGAAAATAACAAGATAAACACCAATGGAGTCAATATAATCTCAGTAGCAATGATGGTAAACAACGTTAAATATTGAATATGGTTACAAAAGTAGTAAAAATGTATGTATGAAGGAATTCTGAAACTTACGATCTAGAAGATAAGTGGATCCAAATGCCCTACTAAGACCGATTTGGAGATATTTTACTCAACATCTCCAACCACTGATCTCAATTATCCCACAGATTACAAACAGTTTGAATCTACCGATATGTCTCAGTCCAATAGTCAGTGATCTTTATAGACTGATGACAAGACTTAGTTTGGGTATCTTTATTTTTGTCTAATCTAATATTATACCAACCAACATTATTCGTCGAGGGAGTTGGTGGTTGGATACAGACAACGAATCTCCTCGTTACTTCAGCTGACGAATACCCACAACCTCGTCAACCGATTTGCCAGAAACCTACCTGTAACCTAACCCTTGCTAACTCGGTGGTCCCGAAACACATGACCAATGTTTCGAATAAACCTATTATCGAATACTAGTAACTTATGAATGCCTTCTACATTTAAGTGACACGTTTCGTAGTCAAAAAATGAAACACAGCGAAATGATATCTACCGTACTTCCTGCTTTATTGTCAGACGTCGCAACGGCTAACACGTTAGTAAATCTCAGGCGAGATTTCTGAAATCATACTGAACTACTGGGGAAACATACAAGATAAGTGATCGAAATCTCCCCAGTGATTTAAAATTATAAGGCGCTTGAAGATCGGAGAGCAGGTAAAATTAATCAGCTTCACTCAGTAGTATTTCACGACGTTAATATTTTAAATAACATGGTTAAAATACTTTCGAACACGAAACAATAATGCGATCTTATGATCTGGAGATCCAATTACCATTTTAATGGTGCATCAATCTAATGAAAGTAGTCAAGAGTAAAACTGAATATTGACTAGATATATTGCCCATAAGTAACGCTTATTTTATTGCAAATGTTTTCTTAGTCAAGATTCATTGTTTAACTAGAGGCTAGTTCCTTGTTAAAGATTCATGTATTTAATGTTTAACCCAGAGGGCAATCTTGATAATTTTGTCTCTTGTTTGTGTTTAACGTCTACTATATGTTCCTGGTTTACTCACCTTGGATTTCAATTAGTAATTTAAGCAAATTTCATCCAAGTAAATATCGGCATATGGTAACAGACAACTGAATATTACAAGAAGCTACGAAAATCTTATGACTTTATTCAACCATGGTGCGAGTATATATTTAACTGATAGAATAATGTTATCCGACCGGCCATTTTTTTTAAAAAAAACCTCCACCCCCAAATTACAATATTTTTCATCCCGTGTTTCGTCCAATGAAATGGCTAGTTTCAAAACTTAGGTTTAATTGGTTAGTTATGTCTTGAACATTGTTATAAATTAACAGTACTTGTCGACGAAGCACATTTCAATCGTCTTTTTGACTACATTGTTTCTGGTTGCGTTTCCATCGGTTGAAGCGTTAAAGACCACTATCACAAATTCCGAAAGATCGACTTACAGTCATTATGTAGTGAGAGATTCGCATATTGGCAGAGATCAAAAATCGTACATTAAATTTGTGTGTTGGCGAAATGGGCGTATAAGATCTAGCGGTTCGTCACAACGTATTAGACGGAGGAGGTAACTTGGTAAATGGTTTTATAATTTTTTTAACGAAGGGCTTCTATGAACACCCAATGTCCGGCCTTCATGTTTTGTAAGATTATAGACGGCTACTGGACTGTTGTCCATGGGAATGTGCATCACAATCACGAGTGCAATTCCCTGAGGTACCAAGGTAATTCATGGGTGCGCAGGTTAACGGATGGGGAGTTTGAAACTGTGAGACCGCTGCATTCCACATAAAGAATTTTGCTTACCAATCTTATGGGAAACGTCTGAGTGATCAAGATGTCTGTAATATGCGGTACAAAGTGTTCTCACACGCGAACCTTCCTGGTAAGCAATTTGCCAATTTATAATGTACACTATAGGTGATTACGGGAAATTGAAAGCTCCCATAACATCCTTGGGTGGGCTTTGCGAATACGAATTGGACTATGAGAACTATCTATCATATTTCTTCTTCATGACTGCTGAGCAACTGAATTTGGCCGGCCACTTTTGTGACGTAATTGGTTTTGACGGGACGTACAAAACGAATAACGAGAACGTCTGATAGGTACTCTTTATTCTATTTAAGAGCTGTGGTGTTGATTCGCAGTTAACCAGTTGTTGGTCAATAAAGGCAATTAATCCCAAACTATCTATTCCCCAACGATAACTAGATTGAAGTTTGAGTGTGACTAATGAGTTGAAAAATCGAACACTGTAGTTCTATGAAGATTAACGTTCAAGAGCTTCAGTATCATATATCCAAACTCTACACGTAACCGAAAACCGACAATAAATTAAACATAAATGAATAATTGATTAAACCAAAGATGAATAGTGGCTAGCAGTGGAATCCAGAACGCGCGTTTCGTCCTGTTCGGGACTCGTCAGCTGGACGTACTTGCACCTCAGAGCCGATGTTTACTCTGGGACTCGAACTCAGTACCGTTCGCTTCAAACGCCATTGCGTTATCCACTTAGCTACTGAGTCCTGATAGCCACTTGCTTGTGCAATGGGATGAAGTTTAATTCACTTGATATTGTTTTACTTGAATCTTCCCATTGATGTTTTAGGACTGAAATTGATCAGTCTCTTATTGGCATATGTGCATACTGTGCGTATAATGCTTGTAAATTAAGGCAATATCGAGGCATACGCACAGTATGCACATATGCCAATAAGAGACTGATCAATTTCAGTCCTAAAACATCAATGGGAAGATTCAAGTAAAACAATACTAAGTGAATTGATTAAATCGTTTAAATATACCTTAAAGGTTTCAAAATAACAGAATCATCAATTTGATAATCAATTAACGACTTGATATATGAAGGTGAATTATAAATTTGAGGATGTCTTAAATCCCATAATGCCATAACTGGTAAAAAATGTTGAAGAGTATAGGCTGGATCCCAATTTAAATGAATTTGACAAAAAGATACAGCTTTTCTTGGATCTGGTCGTTTCCACTGAGAAACAGATTCCTGTTTGGGTAAGATCCAATTACGATTTTCAAAACTAGTTAAGAATTCTGCAAATATCTAGAACAAAAATAAATAAATAAAACTGGGTATTTAATAAAATATTTGGTTAACATTATAGGATTTTCGAGGATCACGTATTACATATGTTCATCTATTAAATTTGAATTGTTTCAATTAGTGGATGTATTCTTGGAATTCACTGATGGATAAAACAAAGACACTAAGAGTAAACGTATCAACGTACATTGGTCAGACAGTAAATGAATCATAACTAGACATGAATTTAAACATTTCCAAAAAAATACATGCGTGGATGAAATGTCATCCTGTTAGTTAGAAGATATTATATATTGGGTTTTCATTCATCGCGATTTGAATATTTGGTATCTAACAATAGGTATCAAACAGCCAAACGGATTTCTGTAGTTAGTGTGTCCACATTTGTTGACTCGGTGATTGGATAAAACAAAGAACGCGTAAAAATAGTGGTAAAGACTGTCATCGTCGTCTTTCTAAGACGACATTCCACTCCCATCAATTCGCTATTTCATACTTCAAATTACTCTATGATAAGTGAGTCGTTATATTTAGCTTTATAGTTTTTAACGACGCTCATTAATTTCAATATCCATACTTTAACAAATGATTAAACAGATGGATGTAATATATATTTCGAATAGTTAAACATGGATCGGCTTTATTCTATATTGCCTGGTCTAATCATAAATAAAACAAGATACACGAGTGTATATTGGAAGCTGAAATTTAGTTTTAAGAATTTAATGTTGACGGAATGAAGAAAGAAAAAAGAGGATTACGTACAGGCATATTTTGAGTTAGTTCATGCAGTAAATCGGTAGTTCAAGTGGTCAGCTATCAGGAATAAATAACTCTCATTAGCAGACTTGGTGTTTACGGGATTGGTTGTGTTTGAACTTTTAACACAAATAATGATAAAAACTTAGTTTCTGAAAGACACAAACGAAAAACATCCACAACTACTTAGCGTTCTGGGCAGAAGTAGACTACCTGGTCAGAGTCCGCATGATCATTAAAACTTCTAGTTAGAAACTTTATATGAAATGGCTCAAAATCGTTACAAACGGTGAAGGTGCATACACTTTTCGTCACTCCTTAGATTCTACGTTTCTAAATTCTTTACGAAAACACTTTTATTTCACCAATTCATATTTTCTTCAATCGTAACTTCTATTCCTGGTCGCATCTACTACCACTAATACTGTTACTACCTCTGTGATTCTGGGATTCGCCCTAACAATTTCATCTCGATATACTAATGGGGTACGGTAACTTGAACCGATATGTCGGGTTCTACATTAAGTTCAACTGGCTTAGTTATTTAGTACAGTTCACCTTGGGAACATGAATTTTTTAGTCTGTTATAACTTGTGGCCTGTGCCCTGTTAATGTATAACTTAATGAGACCTCCAATTAGAGAACAGTGAATTATCGACCGGACCAATGACTCAAAAGAGTCTTTATCGGTCCCGCTTCCCGCCTAGCCCTGCCAGTTAAGTCCAGAACATCAATCTCAGCCTCTGCAATATGAATCATTTATTTCAAACATACTAGGGTTATATACCAACCAGATAGACCACATCATACCATAAAATAGGAAACAACATTTGTACAAGATTTAGCCAAATGTGGCTGCGAGTGTGGGAGGTAGTAATTAAAAGACAGGGCATAATTCGAGAATGGTAAATCATAGAATAATAGTTCATAGGTCAAAATAAAGCTCATAATAAGAGGGACATGAAAATGAATAGTTTAGTTATTTAACAATTATACAATGAAAATATACGCATAGTATTGGTCCATAAATGGATCCCAAAAGTTACCATTCATTATTCTTATCGGGACATAACACCAATCAATAACAATCAAGGTCTTAACACTAGAAGTTAGTGACTTCAAGCACTGAAGCCAGGTTTTAGTTTGGCCGCTCCAAAGTTACCATTCATTATTCTTATCGGGATATAACATAGTCAGAAAAAGTAAATACAAACATGATGGAAACCTAATTTCGCAGAACCCATTTGAAACTTTGATTATTTATTTGTTGTTGTGACGGACTGCATTTATCAGGTTGTGAATCTATCTTTATCGAATGAACTGTTGAAGACCTGTTCGATGTATGACAAGTCACTGACTACCCCCAGAGTAAGAACTAGAGGTTTTCTACCATAGATTAAGATTATTTTAACAACTTTAACCAAGAAGTCTGTGCATTTTAATGTGACTCAGACTAATGCCATAACGGCCTAATAAACAATGACATAATTAGTCAGATTCCTTATTTTTGGTGACTTACTTCTTCGTAAGGACAATTCTTTAATTCTACGCCAACACGCAGCCACATTTTTATAACACTTGGACATACACGAAGATCAAATGGATTGAGATTGAAATCTTCGCAATTTTGTGGACAAGTACTTGTTAACCAAGTCAAAAATGTAATGAGGAAATGCTCATCTACATGCAGATTTGGAGATTTCAAGGATGCAATCAAACGTAAAGCTCCAACCGGACCTAAACGAGAGACACCACTTGCCCAATAATCACAACCCAACAAAATGCCAAGTAGAACTAAATCACATTTCGTCAAATTCAGTACGTTGCGTATACGATGCATGTGAAAAACACAAACACTGGAGTCCTGAAAAAGAGAAATGAATGCGTGATAACATCTAGAATAATATTCATAAAATAAAACTGCGTTTTTAGTAACTACTTAAGAGTTGGTTTATTGGGCTATTACTGAAACTGACCGTTCTAATTTCAGTATACAAAGCATGGTCAAACTTTTGTTAAAAACGAATTTATAGCTCATAGCATCAAAGTCACTCATTTTTAAGAAATGTCAATTTAAACTGGAGAATTCAAAAATAATTAGTAGACTCAATAGCTCTAGAACCAAAATGAAACAGAAAAACAGAAGAAAGAAAGTACTTTAACTTTCTGAACAGACTAATAAGTATGGTGAAAAATCATTATCGTCGAGAGTATGAGATAAGAACATACTTAACGACAATAAAAATTTAAACTTTATCAAAGACTACAAATCCTGTGATAAAAAGTAAGTCGTGGTATAATATTCACATTAATCGATCACTGGTAAGCAACTAGTATCTTACTCTGGACTTCTCAGCATTGATCGAATTCAATTGATAGGAAAGTGGCAACATGGTCATTAATTTGAACAATCCCGATTTATTGTAGTTTGCATTTGATGCTAGGTAGTTGAAGGTAGGCTGTAAGTAGTCATAACAATAGCTACTGCATCACCCAACGTAGTGATTAGAGACAGTGTTACTGAGTTACTTCACCCAAGACTGACTTTATTCAGCAATCTCATTGTAAGAGTGGTCGACTGAATACAGAACTGAGGGCTAAAAAGGGTAAGAATGGTTGCCATTCAAAGTAAAATAAACCAGTTCTTCAAATGTTCAGTTGTGACTTAAGTAGCTCCGTCTACAGTGCTGATTGACGAGGACTTAAATCAGTTTCATTGAAGCTTTAAAAGCCCTTTGTTGATGAATACCTGAGAGAAACTAAGACCTAGAGCCCCTTATTGATTATCTACAGCCAACTAAAATCTAACACTGAAATAACTTCATAAAAGGTCTTGGTTCATTCATGTACAAATAAGATTAAAGGAGAAACAGAAAATAACTACTGAATAAACTAGCCATCAAAGAGCAATAAAAGTTGGATGAAATACACATGATTTTCATGACGTACCCGACTATCCATAGAGAAATGACGATAAACTGTCTCAGCACCATACAGAAAAGCGTCACCATCATTTGTGATACAAGCGTCCACTAGCTAAAAGGATAAATGAGAAAAAATACTTTATTTTTAGCTGGAACAGTCTTGTTCATTAAAAATATCTAAAAAATAGACCAAGGAATAATTAATAAAAATCAGTTATCAGAAAAGGTCTATGGATTCGGTGAGAGATTGGATTGAAACAATAGGGCTTAATGGCTGAAAACACATATTCAAACTACTTTGATATACTTATACTCATTTAAAGCCTATATGAGTAGTGTAAACTGAGAAATGAGGTAACTGTTATGACACGACGAATAATGGGAAAGTTGAAATTCTCAGTTATTTTTACCATATAATTGATAGATAACTTTACTGTTGCAGTTCTACATCCCCTTATTATAAGCTTTCAGTGGACCTATTGACTGTTGTTATAAGTTTCAGTGTTCCCTAACTATTGCTAATTAATTACGAACTGATTGCTTCGTCCTCTACCACATGGTATGATTGTGCGATAAAGTATGATTATTTATTTGGTACCGTATGTGGTTAGGGATCGTCGGTATATTATTGTATGAGTTTTGATTCATGATTGGATTGGGCACAACAGAAAACTAATCTGCTTCATACTGTCGTCTCCTGACTAACTGCCGGCTTGGATAGGGCTCGAAGACCAATAAGTGTTAAGACCTTGATTGTTATTGATTGGTGTTATGTCCCGATGAGAATAATGGATGGTAACTTTTGGGATCCATTTATGGACCAATACAATGCGTATATTTTCATTGTATAATTGTTAAATAACTAAACTATTCATTTTCATGTCCCTCTTATTATGAGCTTTATTTTGACCTATGAACTATTATTCTATGATTTACCATTCTCGAATTATGCCCTGTCTTTTAATTACTACCTCCCACACTCGCAGCCACATTTGGCTAAATCTTGTACAAATGTTGTTTCCTATTTTATGGTATGATGTGGTCTATCTGGTTGGTATATAACCCTAGTATGTTTGAAATAAATGATTCATATTGCAGAGGCTGAGATTGATGTTCTGAACTTAACTGGCAGGGCTAGGCGGGAAGCGGGACCGATAAAGACTCTTTTGAGTCATTGGTCCGGTCGATAATTCACTGTTCTCTAATTGGAGGTCTCATTAAGTTATACATTAACAGGGCACAGGCCACAAGTTATAACAGTTGGTCGGTGTATCAGTTCGTAAAATAGATTACCAGTTCCACTAGCAATTAGTATTCGAAATCTCTAGTCATAGGAAATGAGTAATTTTACAAAACATAACAGTAATGTAAAGCATAAGATCAGTATCTGAAGCATCATAAAATAACTGTTACAAATGTAATACTCCTATAATACCATGTAGCGATATATCTATTATACAGCTACTGTCAGGGGAATCTTACTCACTGCCTTCTCGCGGCATTACTATTGTTTACGAAATTGAGAGGAAGAAAAGCGAATGCCCGGCGTTCTAACTGGGGTGGTGGGTATGGCGGGTCCACCTAGAGGAGTTGGAAAATCCTGATTCAAAACAAATGGCTACAGGATCTTTGGGGAACAAATGGCGTACTAACCAATTATTTATCACCAGCTACCATAGGACTGCATCTCCTGACGTCGCTTCACTGCCTTGTGGACCAGACCTGTAGGTCGAAGGCTCCGGGTGTGGCACTCTAAGAAAATCACCTGCTTCGGTTTGGGCACCTGGGCAGTATCACAGCCCAGACACAAATCACGTGACCTATGTGGCGCATATGCATTCGGTGCCACTTTGTGCCAATATTTACGTGTTCAGATAAATAAAATGAATAGTTATTAAAACCATATACTCCTAATGCACACAGTTAAGTAAGGCATCTATAAACTACAATATGCTCTAAGTAAAATGTGAGGCAATACACTCACAGTTGATAGATTAGTGCTCAAACCAAAAAGCTAAGTTTCTATTAATGGGAAAACAGTGAGTCTTTCTTGAAAACTTACTTTACTTGAGTTAAGGAATGCACACATAGCTTCCGCTTCTCCAGGACTCTGGACCCATGGAATGCCAAATGAATTAAGTAGTTGAATGCACTAAAAGATACAACAAAGAAATACTAAACTGAACAGTCATTGAGACCTTAACGTCGTTCTTAACATCTACTTTAACACGATACCAAAATACATCGATAAAAGTGGCTATTATTGTGGAAAAGTAATTATTTCTTGTGTTACTTCCCCCATTCTTGTCATATTGGTTAAAAGAAAATGTAAAATATGGTAACTCTGAGGAACGCAAGTAGACTCTAGACGAAAATGTGCTTCAAAGTTTGTTATATAACAGACGGTGGCTACTTATTAGTCTATCTCATATCATAACAGGAACTATGCACCTGTGTTTTACTTTATTTAAGTCAGTTCAAACTGGAAACTAGAAAGGTTCAACTAACTATTTTGAACGTTTTAATTTTTTTTTCGATCTCAGATACCAGTGTCCTGACAAACAAATGAAGAAGCAGAGTTTAGATGCTGTGACTTAATTATTTTAGTTAGATTTCCGTAAATTCATCAATTAATCAATTTCGCCCTATGATACAACACTGTTAATATAGTGGCTTTGAAAATAAATTACCATACTACTGAGTAATTAAATTATCTTGGAACCTTAGAATCCTCATTTACTACTTACTTCTTGAGATATTTTTGAGAACCGTATTCTACTACGATTTGGTTTCGTACATTTCTGAGTTGTGATCTTCCCTGTCCTAGGAAAAGAGAATAGAACGAAAATGACGGTAATCGATACGTTTCGGAGAAAACAGACATGAAAACTACGGTGATATAACAACTCAAAGTATCTATAAACGCTATGCATATACGAATGGGAAAGAAATTAAAATGACTGTTAGCAGGATTGAGCCATGATTAACGCATGCTTCAGACAAAATGACGTTGAGGTACAACCAATCAGAGCTAATGAATGGGGTAAGAAGACATTAAAATTTCTTTGTATATACACTGATATCTTTATGCTGCATTTACCTAACTTTTTGTCTGCTTTGGAATGTGTTCACGTTTCTGTCTAAGTCGTGCTTTGATATGGGAACAAGTAGAGTAAAGTGAAGTGTTCAAGAATGCTAGGTCAAATAAAACTTAACACCAACGGAAACTAACTGTTTTAATAACCAGCTGTCTATTTTATTAAGTTTGTAAAGCAAGAACTTTCAAAATCATGTCGTAGAATAATTTATAAAAGGATTTCAGTTATTCTAGTGGCTGTTAATCATCAATCCTATAACTGGATATCGACTTCGACAGATCAATAGTTAATTTTAGTGAGGAAGTAATATGATGAAAAATATACGCGAAATATATATCTTGAAAATAAGAACTGAATGGAAATGGGAGAAATTAATTTTGATTAAACAACTTATCCTTTAATAAATAATAAAAACGAAAATGAATATTAAATAGTCGCCTAAACTGAGCTATTTCATTTAGTTTCCAGTTTTAAATTTCTTCTTAATTCAATATTCAAACTAATGACTTAAATTGTTCAATTTTCCTATAAGAACGGAATATGACAGTTGAAATGTGAAATCGAACACTTCCACGTAAGTCGAACTGTAGAGACAGAGTAGAAAGTCACGTCTTCGATCCTATTGGCAACCGAAATCTATATATATGGTAATATGATATAAAACTTTAAAAAAACGAAACAAGCTCAGTGGGTATATGAAGCTTTAAATCAGATTATTACTTGGACCCTAGCCATTATTGGACATACAGGAATTCACCTATTAGGGAGTGTTAAGCATCTGATAAATTCCACCCATTAATAATAACGAAGCCTCATTCACTTTAGTTTCATCAGTCGACTAACACTCTACATCTGAAACAACATTTACTGCAAGAAAAGTTACACCAATAATGAGAAATATTCTGAATACATTAACTCTTGATTATCTGCCCTTAATAACTACAACTCAGTCAAACAGATGTGAGACGCGTGTTATAATTCTCTTCCAACTATTAGTTAACCACGTTAGTGGAATAAAATATAGTAAATCTTTGCAAACACAAAAAGTCATTTGATATATGCGTCGGAATGTCATCAACCATCAGCCTTTCTCGTTTAACTAATTCGCTTTTTTCAAGTTCAACCTAGGTAGCTGTTATAACGTGGAAATAATGCTGCTGAGGGGATAGCGAATTATTGATCGGACCAAAGACGCACAAACACGTAGAACGACCTAGTGCCCTGATTGGCCCTGCTTCGCTGTCTGTCCTAGCCAGTTGAGTCAAGAACGCAAGTCACAGCCTCGGAGTTATGAATCATTATATTTCAAACATACTTTGTTTATATACCAGTCAAGCAGTCCACAACGTACCATAAAATAGAAGATAACATTGTACAATAATGGCCAACAGGAAAATAACACGTCAAATAAATATTAACCAATAAGATGATACCATTCCATGTCCAAGGATAGCATTAGGCTTAACAGGATAATTTTTGGGGTATTTCCCTGAATATCCCAACAGTAGCTGAAACAGTGAAAACATACTGGTACTCATAAAACTTAAGGATAAAAGAACATGTACAGGTGATATATTCTCTTTCTAAAACATCAACACTAGATCTACCTTTATTGACAGCTTTCCAGGAAAAACAACTCACCATTTTTGTTGTCTTTGTTCCATAACATCCGATTTTAGTGACGGAGCGACACCATCCAAAACTGCGACAGGCAGGGTATTTTGACGTAATAGACCCACTAACCGGAAAAACAAATTCCTGCTTGTGGAAAATAAAAGTGGACTATTATACTGAAAAAATAAAGAATTTGGAGTTAGGTTTTCAAATTATTAACTAAATGTTAATTTCGTTTATGTCTGACTATAAGAGAATACTGTTTATTTATTATAAACTATCACTATACAAGTCATACCTGTTAGGTGTCCTGATGAAGACTTAATGTCAAACGAAAATTTATGCCAAGTCAGAAAAACAATGAGATATAGCTAGTCAATTTGAAAGGTAGTAATTCGACTTAACCATAATAGCTTTCTGCTGGATAAAATGAAGTTTTGACAAAATAGTTAAAAGTATAATAATCAAAAAGAAAAAGATTTTTGTATCACTACGCACAGCAGCTGGATTATAAAGATATTTTAGATGAATGTCGGTAAATCTGCCGTGGAGGATGGTAGTCAGAAAAAGTTCAATATTTCGCGACATTCGTCAATAGATATTCACACGTAACATAAAGATGATTTAGAGATATTTCTGAAAACCAGTAGAAAAATACGACTTATTAATAGCAAGCAAGCAATCTGAGCAAGTTTGTGATATTTGATGTTTAAGATATGAATGAGAACTGGAAAGCTTTGGTAAGATATCACTTTTAGGCTTCAAACAGCCGTCAGTTTAACCTGGTTGTAGATATTTAAAGCACACGCTGTGAATTAATTTATTACCACCTAATTCAGAAACCGGTCACATGTTAACAATTCGATCCTAAGCATATTCTATTCCAGGATAATACTCATGAGGCCGCTTTCTAGTGTTTACAGTACAGTGTAAACTTATTGAGCACTGCTGACTAGCTGTGCTGTTCAGCAAAATGTTTAATCTCACTTAAGTGGCAATTGAAAAAGCTTCTGGTTACTAATCGAAGATAATATTACGGAATTTAATGTTTACTACAGTAGTAGTATTCATGTAATTATACACCTTAAATAATTTGATATCTGAATGCTCAAAAAGCTGTCCACCAAAAACACTCCAAAGGGTGACGTGTGACGGTGAGTATGTGAAAACTGTTACTACATAGTTTGCTGTCATATAACTCCGCATGGAGTCCCTTCGAGGGCTACTGTCGGTCCCAAGCCCGGATAAAGGAGGGTTGGGCATGAGGTTAGCGACCCCATCCTGTAGAAAACTAACTCGCTAAATAAACGATAACCAGAAAAAATTATTCAAACCATTTCAACTCTGCTCTGGGAGTCAGAAGGTCTTCATTTAGAAGAGTTATGACACCTCATGATGAAATCCAAGTTCCTTCGGAAGTCACGAGGCCGATGCCCCTTCTGACAACCAGAGCGACCATTTATTTAGGTACAGGGAATGCTCGTACAATGTGGGAGACTGGGAGAGTCTTCAAAATTGATGCACAAATGAGGACATACAACCTAGAAGTGTTTGGGATCAGTGAAACATTTTGGACGAAAGTTGGACAACAACGACTAGCTTCAGGGGAGCTTCTGTTATACTCCGGCCATGAAGAAAAAATGCTGCACATACACAAGGAGTCTCATTGTTGCTGTCCAAACAAGCACAAAATGCACTTATAGGATGGGAATCTCATGGACCAAGGATCATCAAAGCCTCCTTCAAAACAAAGAAAGAGGGCATTTCAATGAACGTCATCCAATGCTATGCGCCTACCAACGACTACAATGAAGACGCTAAAGATCAATTCCACGATAGGCTGCAGTTAATCGTCGAGAAGTGCCCAACAAAGGACCTGACCATTCTGATGGGAGATTTCAATGCAAAGGTTGGAACGGACAACACAGGATATGAGGACATCATGGGACGACACGGACTGGGAGAAAGGAACGAAAATGGTGAGAGATTTGCAAATCTATGTGCCTTCAATAAGCTGGTCATAGGCAGCACCATATTCCCACATAAACGCATACACAAAACCACATGGACTTCACCGGATCACTCTACACAAAACCAAATCGACCATATTTGCATCAACAAGACGTTCAGGAGGACTATAGAGGACGTGAGAACCAAGAGAGGAGCTGATACAGCATCAGATCATCACTTGCTGGTCGCCAAGATGAAATTGAAACTCAAGAAGCACTGGACAATGGGGCGGACAATATCACAAAAGTTCAATACGGCCTTTCTTCAGGATACTACCAAACTCAACAAATTCAAGATAGTCCTCAGCAATAAGTTCCAGGCCATTCATGATCTACTCAATAGAGAAGGAACTACTATGGAGAGCAATTGGAAAGGGATAAAATAGGCAATCACGTCAACATGTCATGAGGTCCTGGGTCACAAGAAGCACCATCACAAGGAATGGGTCACTGTTGATACAGTGAGCAAGATTCAAGAACGGAGGAAAAAGAAGGCAGTGATCAATACCAGCCGAACAAGAGCAGAAAAAGCCAAGGCACAAGCTGAATACACAGAAGTAAACAAGCAAGTGAGGAGGAGTATCAGAACTGACAAACGTAAATATGTGAAACATTTAGCAACGACAGTGGAAAAGGCTGCAAGAGAAGGAAACATGAGACAACTGTATGACATGACAAAGAAACTCTCTGGAAATCGCCGCAAACCAGAACGACCAATGAAAAGCAAGGAAGGCGAGGTAATCACTAACATTGAAGAACAACGAAACAGGTGGGTAGAATACTTCAAAGAACTCTTGAACCGACTAGCCCCACTGAACCCACCCAACATCGAAGCAGCACTCACGGACCTCGCAATCAATGTTGGCCCACCAACAATTGAAGAAATCAGCATGGCCATCAGACAAATCAAGAGTGACAAAGCAACAGAACCAGATAACATTCCAGAAGAGGCACTGAAACCAGATGTAGCAGTAACTGCAAAGATACACCACATTCTCATCAGCAAGATTTGGAATGAAGAACAAGTACCAACAGACTGGAAAGGACACCTGATCTAGATACCAAAGGAAGGCGATGTCAGCAACTGTGATAACTACAGGGGCACCACTCTTCTCTCAATACCGGGAAAAGTTTTCAACAGGGTATTGTTAAACAGGATGAAGGACTCCGTAGACGCCCAACTTCGTGACCAACAGGCCGGATTCCGTAGGGATAGTTCGTGTACAGACCAAATTGCAACTCCACGGATAATTGTAGAACAATCAATTGAATGAAATTCATCACTCTACATCAACTTCATTGGCTACGACAAAGCATTTGATAGCGTGAATATGACAACACTATGGAAGCTTCTTCGATACTACGGTGTGCCTCGGAAGATAGTCAATATCATAGAGAATTCCTATGATGGATTACACTGCAAAATTGTGCATAGAGGACAGTTGACAAACTTGTTCGAAGTAAAGACCGGTGTCAGGCAAGGTTGCCTACTCCCACTCTTTCTCTTTCTCCTGGTGATCGACTGGATCATGAAGACGTCAACGTCTGAAGATAAGCACGGGATACAGTGGACAGCTAGAATGCAGTTGGACGATCTAGACTTCCCAGATGATCTGGCCCTTCTATCGCAAACGCAACAACAAATGCAGGAGAAGACGAACAGTGTAGCAGCAGCCTCAGCAGCAGTAAGTCTCAATATACACAATGGGAAAAGCAAGATTCTCCGATACAACACATGCACCAATCCAATCACAGTTGACGGAGATTTGGAAGATGTAAAAACGTTTACATATTTGGGCAGCATCACTGATGAACAGGGTGGATCTGATGCAGATGTGAAGGCGCGGAGCGGCAAAGCAAGAGCAGCATATTTACAACTGAAGAACATCTGGAACTCAAAGCAACTGTCAACCAACACCAAGGTCAGAATTTTCAATACAAATGTCAAGACGGTTCTACTGTATGGAGCAGAAACCTGGAGAACTACGAAAGCCAACATCTAGAAAATGCAGGTGTTTATTAACAGTTGTCTACGCAAAGTACTTCGGATCTGTTGGCCGGACACTATTAGCAACAACGTACTGTGGGAGAGAACAAATCAGATCCAAGCGGAGTAAGAAATCAAGAAGAAGCGCTGGAAGTGGATAGGACACACATTGAGGAAAGCACACAACTGCGTCACAAGACAAGCTCTCACATGGAGTCCTCAAGGCTAAGGGAAAAGAAGAAGACCAAAGAACACATTACACCGGGAAATGGAGATAGACATGAGAAAAATGAACAAGAATTGGATTGAACTAGAAAAGAAGGCCGGTCGGTGGCTTATGCTCCATTAGGAGTAATAGGCGTAAGTTAGTAAGTAAGTTGCTGTCATATGTATACGAACTCCAAGTGCTTTGTTAAATAGACGATTATCTGGCTGATAATATGATTTTATGTTTTCAGTCACGAATAATGTGTCTGGTATAATGTGATTTTATGGGTCGAGTATCCAGTCTAGTGATCATACTATTATCGTATTCCAGTATCGCATGGCGAATTGAAAAGTCTTCTGCTGTTATATTACAAAGATATCTGAAACCTATTTCGGAAAACTGAACCGACATTTTCTGCATGCCCACTAAACACTAACTTCTTGAGAACAGCACAAACTTTAGCAGAAACATCTTGTCGAGCCAATTTGAATTCAAGTAGTATTTCTCACGTCTGACTAAGAGCAATTATTTATTTCTGAAGACTACTGGTTACAAAGAATAATGAATTTATGTGATCGAAAAGCGTAAACGAAGTAAACGAAATGTCATTTTCTAGTGGGAATCTTATGGGAAGTTAAAAAGCAAAGGAACATAACCTTGGTAGAATTCGCAAGAATCAGAAACGTCCCACCAACTAAGACAAAGAAATGAGGCCCTTTAAGACGATCCCAAATTGGCGACCTCAATTATACCACTGAAGGTATAGGTGTTAAGATTAGAATCAGATCTTTAGTCTCAACCTTTTAGTTATCACAAACCTTCAGTTGACAACTTTCACCTTAATTGCCTGAATTGTTAACATTCAATTGTCTTATATTAAGAAATTCAGTTTCTGACTAGTATATAGCTCAAAGATAAACCGTTGAGCAATTATCTTAAATTAAGTTTTACCGAATGTTCTTTACCGAGTTACATGCCAATTTGCATTGATAAATAGTTGAACAGGAGTAGTCAAATCGGTTAGCGAACAATGGAAAACTTAGCTGTACCATATTTTACGCGCTTCCACCTACAGTAAGTGACTGAACAAAATCAGAATTGACTAAACTGGTATTTTAAATGCATTTTTAATCACCGAACTGGAGTTTAGAAGTTGTTAAGAGCTATGTTTGATTTTGTTGATCACTCAAATACTGTCCTTTTTTATTCTTTCAGTAAAATTTAATTGCTATCGCTGATAAATATCAACAAATGAAATGGAATATAACTATCACGTATCCTGCCAAATAGCTAAATTTGTATCTACGATAAATAAATGTAGGGTAAACGTGATTTTAGTCTATATGCGGGATCATATAGAAGTTCACATGAAATCGTACCTTAAATGTAGTGCAGGTAAGGGTCCAATTGACTTATCTCCACAAATCCATATACTGAGATCGACAGCAACAGAATCGCAGCCAATTTTGGATAAGGGGCGGTATTCTTGGACAGATGAGAGTATTCCCCATAATCCATGGACTCCCATTCTGAAACTAGAGATCGAGTAACGTACGAACCCCAGCCCTTTCTGTTTTTTGAACTCAAAAGACCACTATGTGCTATAACATGAGAGGAATGTAGGCCATACCTAGTTGTGAAATAAAATTAAACCCAAATCAAGATAAAAGCAAAAATGATGGATTGGTGAACTCCTAATCAAAACGAAAGATCCCATACAAGTTGTGTTACTATTTCAACTACTAAGGCACTGGCGGTAATAAACATATGCTATGTAGCATGATCCACAACAGTAACCGGGCTTTACGTTTCATATCAAAGAGGTACAATAACTCCAAACATCACTGATATGTTCATTACGACGATGGATACTCAGAAACTGATATAACTCATATAGTAGGTAAGTTTCGTAGGAAATTGTGTAAACATTTTCACAATATAGCTAACAAGTGGGAGTTAAATGTCACAAGGAACATCTATACGGTTTGTCATGGAGGTATAACTCATTTCCCTTATTCGGCTGTATTACCTCAGAAAGTGAAATGGTATTTTTTAAAGCACATACCGTTTTTCCTAAGTCCATTGGAAAAAAATTTAGTTCCTTGATAACGTGAGTAAATACGAATAGTGGTGATATTCAAGCTAATAGCAGATAATACCGCGTAACTTACTTGGTGTAAATGAAAGCAAAAACAGAATTTTCGACGCAAATCTAAGTGGTGCTTTTGAAATGGGCAAGACTATATTTTATGGATGACCTTTGAACAATACTAAAATGACTTTCACGTGTCCACCTACCCAACCCCCAAACATCTAAGTTTGGGGAAATTCGAAGTCTTCCTCAATATTTCCCCAAAATCTTATAATCCTTCGAGTTTTTTTTTCCAAACTTTGGGTAAGACTTCTATATTTTCTCAGACTTTAGGGAAAACCCAAAAATTTACTCAAAGTTCCCCAAAATTGGGTGATTGCAATCTCCCATGCAATCTACCCATGGGTACTTACTAGGCCTAGTACATGAGGGTTATATATTAGTGTGAGAAATTAGGATTAACACTTGAATGTTGCGGTTAAGAATTGGACTTAATAATACCATCAAGAAACATCAGCTATAAGGCCAAAATGGTATTTAGCCAAATGAGTGAATGCATTTCGCGCCAAAATCCAAGATCTGATCTCTTTAATGTGGTTGTGTCGTCCATGAAATATAGTCTAGCGCACAAATCTTACTTGTATTGTTATCTATTCACTGATTTATGGAGATAAGTGGAGAATGGTCATATTCTTTCAGGACGACAACTAGCATCACAAATATGATGTGAAGTAACGCAACAAACGAAATATGCGCTTTCGGTCTTCAATATGAAGGGTCCAAACGCGTCAAGTGATTATGGACGATAGACGGAGATTTTGCTTAACGGGCTTCCTTATCTGGTGGCAGTGGATCACTGATGGTTCTAGGTGGAAACTTAGGTATATTAACCATAAAAGAGGAAAATGAAAAAAAGATAAATCATAGTAAGATACTGATGAATGGTTCAAATGTTCAAATGGTTCAAATGGTTGTGGACGGAATAGAAGAAGCTTTCGCTTAACAGGCTTCCGTGTCTAGTAGCAGGGGATCACCAAATCCTCCAGGCAGGAACCTAGGTATGTTAACAATAAAAGAGGAAAAGAAATTGGTAAATCATAATGTGATGCTGTCCTTGGTCCTTAAGAATAGGTCAAGTTGCCTCTTGAAGGACTCCTGAGAAGTCGCTTGGACTAGCTCGGCCGGCAGCGAATTCCAGCTTTTGACAACTCTTAAGGAGTAGAAGTTGTGTCTACATTCCGTCTTGCTATGTTGTGTTTCCAGTTTCTGGGTGTTACCCCTTAGGTTATTATTCGAACTAAGCTTAAGTAGGTGTTTAAGAGGATGTCCAGAAGTGTTAAGAATACTATAAGCCATTAATAAATCACCTCTAAGACGCCTATATTCTAGTGGGTAAAGGTCTAGTGAACGGAGGCGTTCTTCGTAAGGCTTAGATTTGAGTCCTCGAACTGATTTCGTGGCTTGCCGTTGGATACGCTCCAAAGTGACCTTGTCCTTTTGGAGTGAGGGGGGAGTACTATGTTTCCGTACTCTAAATGGGGACGGATGAAACTATTGAAGATTGTGTGGAAAGTTCTTCCGTCAAACTGGCCAAAAATGCGCCTCAACGTTACCAGTGCAAGGTTTGCTCGGAAGGCATTTTTGTCACAGTTAGCGTAAGACTTTAAATCGTAGGGCACCAGGACTCCTAAATCTTTTTCGACTTGGGATACTACTAGAGAGGAGTTTCCTAAGTTGTAACTGTAGTTTGCGACATGTCGCAGATGGACTGCTTTACACTTTGAAGTGTTAAAGGTAAGTCCGTTATCGTCTGCCCAACTTTGAAGTCGCGTCAGGTCCTCCTGAAGTGCCTGTGTATCGTCTTGGTTGCGTATCTCTCTCCAAAGTTTCACGTCGTCGGCAAAAAGTAGTAAGTCTGACGTTACCTGTTGAGGAAGATCATTTATGTAGATCAAGAAGAGAAGAGGCCCTAGTACTGAGCCCTGAGGGACCCTACTAGGACATTCCATAGCCTGAGATAAAGTGAAATTAACCCTAACCTTAAAGTGTCGATTTTTTAGGTATGAAGTAAGCCAATCGATTAGAGGTGGTTTGATACCTAGTCGTTTGAGCTTGTTGATAAGACACAAGTGGTTAACCTTATCAAAAGCTTTTGAGAAATCAAGGTAAATGACATCAACCTTTCCCTTGCAATCGAGGATGCTTGTCCATCTGTCCACCGCTGTCAGCAGGTTGGTTATACAAGAGTAACCCTTCCTGAAACCATGCTGTTGGGGTGAGAAGAAATTTAAGGACAGTAGATAGTCATTTAAACCGTCGCATATCAGGGACTCCATGAGTTTTAAAGGTAATGACAGAAGAGCCACCGGCCGATAACTTGAAGGTTCATTGCGTCGACCACCTTTGAAAATTGGTGTGATGTAAGCCAACTTCCAATTTTCCGGTAATTTGCCTCGGCTAAGCGAGTGTGAAAACATCACGCTAAGCGGCGTTGCCAGGATTGAGGCTGCCTCCCTCAGTATGGCAGGATGAACCATATCCGGGCCAGGAGAAGTGTCAAGTCTTAAGTGCTGCAATTCTCGGAACACCAAGTCAGCGCTTAGGTCCACTTCAGAAAGTCCTGTGGAATTGCAGATGAAACTGTCATCAGTAAAGTTGATGTCAGCCGGTTGAAATGTTTGAGAGTAATGTGCCGCCAGAAGGTTAGCGGCGTCGCCATCGTTGTTGGTCGGGCCGTTAAGACCTAGCAGTTGAGAAACTCCTGTTTTGGCTTGACGAAGAGAGGCTGCATAACGGAATAGGCTTCTAGGGTTGGAGGCGAATTTGTCCATAAGCTTTGTTTGGTACTGAAGCCTGTCTTCTCTTATAGCCTTCGTGCATGTGTTCCTGATATGTTTGTATTGCCTATACGCTCCATCGTTATTAGTTCGTTTGTATTCCGCCCAACAGTGCCGTTTGCGGCTTAGGAGGCGAAGGGTACGGTTCTTGATTACTGTAGGTGGCTTGCAGCTTTTGGGAACCGTTTAAGGAACTGAATGGTCTGTAGCACATAAGAGCGTGTGCAGTAAGAAGTCCCAATGACCATCCACATCAAGTTGAGGGTGAACATCCCAAACCACCTGTTGTAGATAGTCATGTAGAGCTGGCACATTCAGCCGTTTAAAATTCCAACGCAAATTATTGTTGGGATACCTTAGCTTAGTTTTGATGACAAAACTGAGGGCTATGACGGCATGATCGCTCTTTCCCAGAGGAGCCAGGATTGAGAGGTTGTCGACTAGGAATTCTTCGTTAGTGAATACACAGTCTAAGCGCGATGGTGTCTGACTGTTTCTCCAACGAGTTGCCGACCTCACATTTTCATATAAGCCCAAGTTATCGATGAGGTTGAAGAACCGAGCTTCAGTTGAGTTGTCGCCTACAGTGTACGTGTGTTCCGCGGAGTTGACTCTAGGGAGATTAAAGTCCCCTAGAAGCAGGGTGTGTGTGAAACCGGGACGGATAGAGCGGGATAGTCCTTCCAGCATACGACTATCGTACTCGGTGTCGGCAGTTGGCTTCCTGTAAATGATTCCGACTAGACACCTGGAAGTACTAGACAATCTTACAGAGCACCATGTGGATTCCTCAAGATTGTCAAACTCGAGGTTGTGAACCTGGTGCACCTCCAAGCAAGAGCTTATGTATATGGCTACTCCGCCCCCAATTCCTGTTTTTCTGTCGTTGCGGAACAAAGTCATCCCAGGTAATGCTAACTCTTGGTCCGAGAACTGAGAAGATATCCAGGTTTCAGATATTCCTATCAGATGGGCCTTATTAGCGTTGCCAAGTTCACGTAGTCCATTCAGTTTGTTTGGTAGACTCGCGGCGTTCATATATAAGCAGTCTATGCTTTCAATTTGGAACGCGTGAGCTTCGTCCTGTTTTTCTGTATGAACCTTATGTGAATGGACAGGTAGCCCACCCATATGAGGTTTGCCGAGGTGGTAGGCCCTGTCCTTTACACGTTTTTTTATCGTTTAGACAGTCCACAAGTGGAATGGTCAGCTCCAACTTGCCTTTGTTCTTGGTCCTAACTTCGTATGGCCTATCCGGGTGCATGTGGATTCCAGGTGGCAATCGACGTCTATTAGCACGAAATGCTTCCAGAACTGCAGCCGCCATGTGGGAAGATGGGAAGGTTATCTTCATTAGACGGGGTCTAAGATCACTGTCCTTCTTGGCTAGTCTCGTCACATGCTGAGTCAGTATGTGTTTGGGCCTCAAGGACTGTTTGATGAATTTCCATTCCCTGATGTCAGAATTTGATTGAGTAGGGCCTACATTTTCCGGTATACCTTGGACAATTATGTTTCTTCCGAGGAAAAACTTCTCGTGAGATTCTTTAGGGACGTTTCGTATGATATTGCGCTCAGAGTACGGTATGTCGGGCAATATTCTTACGTTACCATCTGATTTCAGCAAGTGACTTGCTAGCAAGACGTCCTCTACGTCGGTAGCATTCTTAAGTGTTACTCGGAGAAGCCTCGGGTGATTTAGATGCTTAGAATCCTTTCCTCGAGTGAGCCGGGTGACCGTCAAAGGCTCTATTCTAGGAAGTTCGAGCTTCTTATTCAATTCACCCCACAGCATCCTGTCGTTGTTGTCCTGCAGACTGAGAGGAAGGTCAGGATTGTCAACGAGGTTCATGATAATGAGAGAATCGTCACGAACTGTTGTTAATTTACCAGGTTCCACGGTGGGTTCAGGTTTAATAACTTGTTGTTTGGAGGTCAGTGTGCGTTTATGAATCTTGGGCTCTTTATTGACCGGACGAACAGTCTTGGGGGTAGACTGTGCGACTAAATCACCAGTTATTTTCCGTGCAGCAACACTTGGGTTGCTCGGCTTAGGCGGTGATGCCTGGTTCTTTTGGGCTCTCTTAACGTGGGTCGAGTCACCTGCAGGGTTTTTGGGAACCACTGTTGTGTTCGGGGACCCTGAGCTGGGAGACCCGAGTTTGCCTAGGGAGTCTAGTACCGTCGACGTAATGATGGTACTGAGCCTCGACACGTCGTCATTAGTGTTGATGGATGCTCCATCGATGGAATACCTATCGACATCCCTATTTTTGAGTCCGTTGCACGCTCTTGTTTGTATACCGGTTTTTTTACTATCGTTTTCCAAGTTAACTGACAACTTGTTCCGAAGACCTGTCAGTAGGACAATGATGTTACTCAGCAAGACTACTGCGTCCGTGCTGCACGTGACACATACCCACTTTTGGTCTGACTTGCTGAGTCTGTTGTAAGCAGTTGCTGTCAGATTTGTGCATGCTTCGTGGAACCAACCTTTGCAGTTGTCGCACTGCATGCCAGTTGTGACAGCAAAACGGCATCCCGGACGTTTGCATGAGTTTTTCATGACGGTGTTGAAGCAAACTATGTTATAGATGCTTGCAAGAGCCTAAGACCTTTTAAAAAAACACTAAAAAGCACACTGAAAACGGACAAAAATGGACAAAACGAGTGATATAAACTGAAACTAGTCTATACGTGAAAAACAAAAAAAACCGAATAGTAAGCTGAGGCAAAACCACAGGTAACTATTAAATATAGTGAAACTCAAAAAAAAGTAATCTACCGAACGTATACCTCAGGATAGATTCTTTAGAACTGAAATGGTACTTTTGTTGCGTAAGAACACAGCAAACGTTTGATAAATGCAAATCACGTTAGGACTAAACTTCCCGTTCGAAAAGCACGCCGATGCGGTCACAAGTATTCAG